CGCGCATGCATGAGGGAAATGTGAGCTCTGACTGAGGACCAGGTTTGGGGGGAGATGGGGCAGCAAGAAGGATGAAGGTATCAGGAGAGAAGAGGAGGGGCATTAAACACATGACAGAAAGGGAAGAAGTCAAGACAGCTTCCCTCACATCATCTCCCCAATCCCCACAAAATGTGGCAGGAAAGGAAGTCTGATCTCATCTGCACCAGACAGGGGAGGAAACTGAGATCAGAGAGGGGCTAGAGAGCTGACCCTCCAGCCAACCCTCCTGTCCATCCATCTAGACAGCCAGCCTTCTGTCCATTCCTCCTTCACCCCAGTCCTCCGTCTCTTCACCATGCCTACCTTTCCACCTGGTTAGACCTGGCAGCCCTGGGCAGAGGGGGAGTGGAGGGGTAGGACGCCTCCTAGAGGAGAATCAAGGCTCTTCCTGGGTCCCATCTTCAGGTGCAGCAGAGGGTCACAGGAGTGACTGAGCATGTGTGCTTGAGTGTGACACACGTGCGCCTCTCGGGGAACACATGGAGCCAGAACACGAGTGGAGGAGGACTGGCGAAGCTGTCACCTGCACGGAGTGAGCAGCCCATGCCGAGAAGACGCGGCCCCTCGGCACAGCTGAAGGTCAGCGTGGAGGTGCAGGGCTGGGTGTGTGCCGGCTCCTGCAGGTCTTTGTGAGCCGGGACCTAGCGGCACGTGGAGGATCAGCCACCACGGAGTACAGCGCCCTCTGCTGGCCAAAAGCCCGACTGCGCAACTTGTCTGTCCAAAGCCCTAGGCCTAGGGTGGACCCTCTCCCTGCGGCGGACTGGGAGCCTGGCCCCGCCCTGAGGGTCTGTCCCCCACAGGCCCACCTGTCAGAGAAAGGAACGCAAGTTGCTGGGCTGGGGGGAGGCCAGCCTCCCAGGCACCTGAGTCTTCTGGAGCCTGAATGGGAAAGGACTCCCTCTCTTCTGCATCCCATCTCGGATGGTGGAGTGGGGGTGGACTGAGAGTAGCTACTTCCTGGTGGCCCCCGGGGACCCAGGCCTGAGAGACTCCCCGTGTCCTCCATCCCCCACGTCTGGAGCCCAGACCCAGAAATCGCGGGCGAGAAGTGCAGCAGTTGTGCATTCGGTGGACGAGGTCCCCCTCTGCTGGTCGGAGCTGGCATTTACGGCGGGACAGGGTGGAGGCCGGAGCTGGCGAGTGGGGGGCTGCCCCTTTCCACAGGTTCTCATAAGCATAACTGCCTTTTGGTGTTAACTGCACGCTGATGAGGCGGGCAGGGCAGGGCGGCTGCAGCTCCCACTCACAGATACTAGGCTCCAGTGTGGAGGAGGACTGGGGACTCTGCCGCCCTCGCCCCCAACCCCTGGGACTGACCCTTGCAGCAGGGTCTGTAGACTCTCCCTCCTCTTCCCCGCCCATCTCCTAGCCCTACTGGTCCCTTGTCTTCCGAGGCAAAGCTGAAGACTGTGGAGCAAGGTTCCCACACAAGGGAAAAGCTGGAGCTCAGGTTCAAACCTCCCAGGAGAGCAGAGGCCGGACCGGGGGGTGGCCAGGGTCCCAGATGTGTACCTGCTGCGTTCTCTTCACACTTGTTTATCGAGCACTCACCCTGAAGTGTCTGGTCCTGTTTGCACAGGGGTTTTATTTCCATCCATTGTCTCATTTTATCCTCACAACCACCCATGAGTACAAGTAGCCCCACTTTACGGAGGAGGTCATTGAAACTCGGAGGGTTTATGTTACCCAAAGTTAGGCGTCAAGACTTGGACCCCAAGCAGACGCGTTAACTCTGATGCAGGGCCGTGTCCTGAGCTGCTCATCTGCATCCCACCCTTTCCCACAGCGAGCAGCGGCCCTAGAACCTCATTCCTTCATCTCATCTGATCCCCACAGCAACCTGTGAGGGAAGCAGTTTTAATCCTCATTTTATAGCCTAACAGATGGAGGCGTGGCCAGTTAAGGGGGTTCCCTACGGAGTGTCAGTGGCAAGGGGACAAGAGCCAGTGAGGGCAGAGCAGTGGGCCCAGCGAGGAAGATGGTGGGGATACTGGCTGGCAGTGGCAGGGAAGGGGAGACCAGAAAGGAGCTGGGCCAGTGCAGCGTGTGTGTGTGTGTGTGTGTGTGTGTGTGTGTGTGTGTGTGGTGGGGCAGGGCTGCTGTCTCTGAGCACAGGCTCCCAACATGGCTCCTTTTTGGAACACGGAGGGGCAGAGAGGGGAGTCCAGGCTATGCCTCCTCCCTGATGACAGACCTGGCTGGTCACCCCCTTGGCATCTCAAGGGGCTGCAGGCTGGCTCATTTCTCTCCCACCCTGCCTGGCACACCCTCCTCAAGGGGCAGGGACTTGACATAGCTGAGGTGGGAGGGGTGTGTAGGCGGGAGGTTGAGTGAAGAGGATGCCTCCTTCTCTGCTCCCACTGCCTCCTCCTGACCTCTAGCTCGCTTTTTATATTTGGTCTCTCTCCCTCTCCCGTCCCCCCCTCTTGCTCTTCCCACCCCCATCTCTGACTCTAGGCCCCCCTGGCTCAGCTTCGCTGTCTTTCCACAGAGGCCTGTGGAGCCCATGGGAAGGTGTGGGATGGTGAAGAGGAGCAGTGATGAGCCAGGGTCCCAAGGAGAGGCTTTTGGGGAGAGACGAGGCAGAACATGGATGTCAGTGGTTTATTGGGGAGCCCCCACTCCACACCCCAGCAGCCCTAGCCCGTGCACCTAGAAGCAGAAATAAATAAGGCAGCATTTAGTGAGCCAGTCTCTCGCCCTCCGAAGGAGCTCTGGGGAGGGTCAGCCTCTGCCATCCTCGGGGCTGGGGTCCTCTGGCTCTTGAGGAGGGGCCGGGAGGGTCGGGAGGAAGAACACAGGCCACTCCTTACTGCCCTGCCCCTGGGGCGGGGCGGCCTGTGAGCTCAGTGCCGTGTTCACAATCTCTGAGGTCTGACCTCATGGCAGCAGCCTGCCCCGTCTCAGAGAGACCCTCACCCCATCAGACCGCAGTCCCGGGGCCCCACCCCAGGAGTCCATCATGGGTTCCTGCTCCCATTTCTAACTGCAGCCTGGGGAGCGAGTCCCTCCTCCCTAGCCCAGAGGACCCGCTGTGGGGGAAGGAAGCTTTGCTGTCATGGGGGTTTTTGGGGGGGGCGGGGAGGGTTTCCCCTGCAATTCAGGGGTGAGAGGCTAGCCCCTGTCTGACGCTGGTCAGTGGGCGGTCAGCTCCATGGTCTTCTTCCGCTCCTCCCGCTGCTCCTCCCAGTCCTCCTCAGGCTCATACGTGCCCTTGACGACGGCCACACGCTCACTCAGGCTCAGGGAGTTGGGGAAGAGCAGGTAGAAGTAGAGGATGGCGGCCAGGGCAGCCCCCACGATGGGCCCCACCCAGAATACCTGAGGGAGACAAGACGGCATCAGCGGGCTGAGCCCCAGGCCTCAGAGACCCCCACTCCCCGCCTCCAGAGGACAGACTCATGGACCCTCAGAAGAGACAGACAAATGGACTCCCAGACCCCCAGAAGGAAAGACTTTCTCCCGTCTCAGGGAGATGGGATCACAGACACCCACATCCTCAAAGGAGGCAGACCAGATCCCCAGAAGGCCAGGGCTCCTGTCTCTAAAGAGACAGATGAGCCTTCAGAGGGAACAGACATATCGATCCTCAGACGACGGACAGAACTCCTCTCCCTCCCGCATGGGGACAGGGACAGACTCCGGAGGGAGACCATGAGCTCTCAGAGGAGGTTTCAGATTGTCCATAGAGACAGACCCACGGGAAGGAAGACAGTCCCAACCCCTCAACAGGGACAGGTAAGTAAAACATCAGGGAAGACAGACACACAGACTCCCAGAGACACAGACAAAATCCTCAGAGATCAACCTGGAGGGGGGGATCCCCTCACTTACCTAAAGGAACAGACACACATAGTCCCCCTCACCCCTCACCCCCAACAAGGGTCTCCTTGTCCATATAAATCTACCCCTGCGGGTGATCTGGCTGCATCCTATTCCCTACGGTGTCCCCTCCTCGCTCCAGCCACTGCTCCCCAGGCCCACCCCCAAGGCCAGAAGCCGCAGCTGGCATCCCAGCCCTCACTGCCAGGGATCAGGGGATGCCCAGACTCACCCAGTGTGCAGAGCTGAACCGCTTCATGACCACTGCGGGGCCGAAAGAGCGGGCTGGGTTCATGGAGCAGCCGGTGAAATAGATCTGAACACAGAGAGGGAGGTGGTGAGGAGGACGAAGTGCATGTCTGCTCCCACAGAGCCCCAACGCTCCCAGGGTCACCCAGCAGTCCAGGGGCTCGGCCAGATCTCCAACTCAAGACCTCCGGTTCCTAGGCTGGTGACCTCTCCCTCACAGGTCCCTGTGCACACTCCTCTCTTCTCTGTCCTGAGCTTGGGCTTGGTTTCCTGCCCCCACTTCAACTCCCACTTATTCCCATCTCCCCTCAGGCCAGAGAAGGTTTGGGGGGCTCCAGTCTGGGACAGGGTACAGCAGCCCCACCCCAGGCCCAACTGCAGGGCTCAGTGGTCCAGAGAGGTACTGCTCTAGGGCCCCATGATTTGCCCCGAGGGGCTCCCCACAACCCCATCCACATGGCAGCTCTGCTCACCCCCACAAGGTGGCCCAGTGTGACGGACAGGCCAATGGACAGGGCTGGGGAGCCCACAGGGCTGGTGCGGCGGGAGTCGGTGGAGGAGAAGATGCAGAGCGCCAGCTGGAAGGTCAGAATCAGCTCCACCACCATGGCCTGGCCGGGCGTCGTGTTGTTGTTGAGCTGCAGGGGGAGGGTGGGTTAGGATCGCCTTCTGGCTCTATGGCCAGGGGATTGGGGAAGTGGGTGTAGGGCCTCCAAGGACACCTACAGCCCAGTGCACGTCAAGTCAGGGAGGCCATCTGCCAAAGAGACTACATACTTCACAGTACGTACAAAGCCTGAGGCACAGGCCTATGGCTGAAGGGTGGTATGAGGGGAGCTTCTACTGGACACGGCCCTGTCAACGGTTCTGCCCAGTCTCCACCCCCCACAGGCTGGCATTTACCCTCCCTCCTGTGGGCAGCTGCCCAGTTTGTCTACTGCACCCCCAGCCCACCTCCCGTCCGTGCCTGATCCACTGCCAGGGCCAACCTCAAACCCGTCTCTCCAGTGCGGCTGACTCACGGCTTCACAAAGGCCGAGAAAATCCTCCTCTGTGTTTGACTAATGAACCCAGTTTGCATGGGACATGGGGGCTAAATCTGGACCTTCGGGGCCGGGGAGGCAGCCGGGGGCCAGGCACAGGAACCAATATGCAAGAGACCCTCACATTAGAGCAGAATTAGGGGTTCACATGCATGGTCTCTAAACCGATCCCTTGACACCTGCTGTGGTAGGCGACCGCCATCCCCTGCAATGGCTGAGAAAAACGAGACCCAGAGCAGCCAGGGTCAGCAGAAGCCAAGATTGCAACCCCTCTCCCTGATGGTTCCATGAAACCATTCCACCGAGGAACCGACAGGAGCTGGAGGGCGCGGGAGGAGGGCAGAGCTCAGGGGGAGACAGGAGACAAGCAGGAGTTTCCGACAAGAAAGGAGGGGCAGTAGGCACCACGAGAGAGGCCAGCAAGGGGCAGCAAGAGGGGGCCGGCAGAGGAGGAAGGTAAGAACCGGGAAGGCTGAGCAGGCACACCCCCGCCTGGGTATTCCTCTTGCTGGCCCGGGTGTGCTCTGGCCCACACGGTGCATCCATTCTGGAGCTGCAGTCCGGGGCCTAGGCCGGTCCCGCTCCACCCCCAGTCCCGGGACACTCACCGCATTGACGGCCAGACTGCCCCGCGCATTTAGAGGTGCCAGCCCGTAGAGGATGCCCGCCCCGGCGATGGCGCCCACCAGCTGGGCCACCACGTAGAAGACAGCCCGCAGCAGGGAGATCTGGTTGCCCACGAGGAGGGCCAGCGTGATGGCAGGGTTGATGTGGCCGCCGCTCACGGGCCCCAGGGCCTGGGCCAGGGTGCCGATGGCCAGGCCGAAGGCCAGCGAGATCTGGAGGATGGAGGGCAGCGCCGACGGCCACTGAAGGGCCGAGCCGAGGCCGAAGAAGACGAAGATGAGGGTGGCCAGGAACTCGGTGAACACAGCCTTGACGAAGGCCACGGAGCACACCTCCTTCTTCATGGTGGCCGTGGGGGCCGGGCGGCGGCGGGGGGCGG